TTAATATCTATAAATTATAGAATGAAGATTAAACCTAGTTAAATATAATTAAAAAAAGTAAATTAAATAAAATATACTTTTAAAATATTTTATAAAGTTGATTTTTAAATAATTTTTGAACAAATTTAAAAGAATTTAATTAAGTTAAATTTAAATTATAAATTAATTTTATATTTATTTTTAATATTTTTTTTTAAAAACTTATATTTTATTTAATTTAATTAAAATTAATAATATTAATAGTTTATATTTATTATATTTTAATAAAAGTTTATACAGATTTTATTAATTTATAATAAATATTAATTTTAATATATTAAATTTTTTAACTTTTTATAATTATTTAATTATATTAAATAATTAAATAATTTTAAACTTATATATTTATTTTAAAAAATTAAATAAATTAGAAAAATAAAAAATTATTAATTTAATAAATTTTTTATTAAAGTAAATTTATAAGATATTAAGTTTAAAATAAATATAAACTAAATTAATTAACTCTATTTTACTTTAATTTTAAATTAAATAATTAAAAAATATATTTTTATATAATTAATAATTACTTTTATATCTATTTAAATAAATATTTAAATAATAATTTTTAAAGAACAAGTATAAAAAAACTTTAAAATAAAAGTAATTTATTTAATTAAATAAATAGTATTTTATTTTAAAATATTTAAATATGTAAGTAATAAATTTACTTTAAAAACTAAAATTTATATTTAAACTGAAAAATAAATTAATTAATATCTTTTTAATAATAATAAATAAAAAAATAATTTTTATTATAATTATATTTTTAATAAAAACTTTATAATTATTATTACTTTATCTGATATTTTTTAATAGTTTATATATTTATTTCTTAAAAATTTATTTTCAAAAAAGTAATTTTTTTAAATATTCAAATAATAATTAAAAATTTATAATTAAAATATTCAAAGTAAATTAATAAATTTTATTTTATTTTAAAATAAAATATAAATTAAATTAAAAATAAAAGTATAAATTTATTTATTTTGAATATTATCTTATATAAATATTATAAAAAATAGTATTAAAAATTATAAAATATTATAAAAGTTATTTTTTTAATTTTATATTAATAAAATAATTAAAAATTTATTATATAAAATATAAAAAACTTTTTTTCTTAAATATAATTAAAATTTAATTATTAAAATTATTTTTTATTTATAATGTAATTGAAATTTAATATAATTATTTAAAATTCTATATAAAAGAAAATTTAAAAACTTTATAAATATAATTAAAAGTTTAAATTATATATTATTAAATAGTTTTATAAATAAAAATATTTAAAAATACTTAAAAAATATACTTTATTAATTGATTAAATGTATTTTTTCAATATTAAGTTAAAAATTTTTTTAATTCACTTTATAAAGAAAATAAAAATTAACTATAATTATTTAAAAAATTAATTTAAAACTTAAATAAAATTTAAATCTAAAAAATACAATTAAAAATATTAAATTTTATATATGATTTTTTTATATTTTTATTATTATATTAATATTATGTGAAACAATTATTTTTTATTTTTATTTTTTATTTTTTATTATATATTTATTTAATTATTATTTTCTTTAAGGTTAAAATTATATAATTATAGATATTTATTTATATTTATAAATTAAATTTATAATATAGTATAGTTTTATTTTAATTATATAAATATTATATTTTTTAAATATATATATTTGAAATAATAATGATATTTACTTTTTTATTTAATTATTTAATAATATTTTATTATTTTAAATACTTTAATATTTAATAATATTTAATAATTATAGAAGTATATAAATAAAATAAAATATATAATAAATTACAATTAATTCTTAAATAAGATGCTTTAAACCTAAAATACTCTTTTTAGTTTAATTATTTGCTGCTAAGTATGAATAATTCAGGTTAGATGTAATTAGTTGGAATATTTGAATTGATCTTCCGCTCGGTTAGGATTTCCGTTCGCTTAAGAATTACGTTATTAGTTAACTATACGGAGCCAAAAGGACTTATCTCAGTCAGACTTGAACATTCAACAATTGTCAGAAGGTAACAGGGTGAAATATTTCCATACACCCATTAACAGGATAATAGACAAGTAAAGAAACCTGCGGGAACCTTGATAAAAGGTCAGACGCAACAGCATATACAGTCAATCAGTTACTCCATAGCTAAGAAATCCACGGCATCTTGATTTAATAAATGAAACCCAGCGAAGGCATCGAGGGTAAAATGTTGCCAAAGACAAACAAACTCAAACAGGGAGACATGGCCTGCGTAAATTCGACGGACAAAGGTCAGGGGCGAAGTAAACAAAAATCAAGGAAATACGGAGTACATCGTGCATAATTTAAACCAAACAAAGCGGGTTTAAAGTTATCATAGGAGCCTTGATCACTGTGGTGTTACTAGAGCAAGAAATTGGGTCGTCAAGTTAGCTAGTTGGACACGTAGGTTCAGAAAATCAAGAAGAAGAAAGGGTAACATCATTTTCTTTCCATGAGTTGAAGAATGAAAGGGGGACGGTGGGTGGGAATTGTACAGATACTCAAAGAGAAAAATGATTCAACGCAAGATTCATATTGAACAATAAATAAATCCAACATATCAACAAAACACAAACCTCTCAAACTCTTCTTCCGTAAGATCCAACATTGCTTTTCCGCAGTTTAACACAGGGAACTAACGCAGCCCTCTACTTCCCCTCCCACATCCCCCAAGCAAAACTAAACCATCCTTCCAATGTTTACAACATCATCTACCTCTTCCCCTTTTTCTTAGCCGCCACAACCTTAAACGGCGCATTGCTGGTATCTTCGCGGTGGGCAGCAGACTGGCCCTTCTTAGCAACCTCATTCCACCCATCAGAAGCATTGGAGTCGGAAGTAGTGCCAAAGCCATTGCTACCAGCGTTCAGTGAGGCGGGATCGACAATGCCCTTATCAGCAAGTTTGCGTCGACGAATAAATTCCTCCGCGAACCGGCGCCCATCTAGCGTTTGTGAGTTGGCATAGACGGAATCAGAAATGATTTCGGTCTCAGGAGGGAGGAGGAGCAGTTGTTGGACGAAATCGTCAACTACAGTTTTATTAGCATTTTGACTTCCCATATTGTTATTTCAGGGAAGCTGGGTGATTTAACAGATTGAACTTACCATTTATGGAGCTGTTCAACCCCTTTCCCAACGCGTTCTTAGCCCATTTCATGAGTTCTTCGGTGGGTTTATTCGCATTAGCAGTTTGCGAAGAAACGAGCGCAGACGGTCTTGTAAGGACAGCCGTTGGTCTAGACTTCGCCGCAGGAGCTACAGGAACAACTCTTGGTCCCGCAGGTGCGGCGGGCTGCGGTTTTGGCTTCCCACCAGCTCCAACTGTGGTCCATGCCCCCGAAGGCGCTGCTGGAGGAGCGATCTTGCTAGCAAGATCTGCATAGCGTTTACCGGCAGCAGACATGGGTGCGGTAGTAATAGTATGAGCATTATTCGCAGCAGCCAGACGTTGCTTTCTGGCCTCTTCTTCCTTTTGAATCTGTGCTAGAGTCTTTTTGGGCGCGGAGGAAGAGATTCCAGGGTGCGATTTGCCGGCTATGGGTTTCGCCCATGCTGACGGTGCGCTGGATGGTGGGGTGGCGGGGGATCCACAACTCGCCCAGTTGGCGGTTGATGGTAAGCCTGGAGCGGGGGCGGGAGGTTTGTTCGCGCGTTCCTGTTCAGAGAGCGCACGTCGCGCGGCTGCTGCGGCCTCTTCCAATTTGGCAGCTTTACGAGCTTCGGCTTCTTGAATTTCTTTCAATGAGGGGCCCTTTGGTGCTTCAATGGTTTCCTTCGCCCAGGGTGCGATGGATGTTGTTGGAGTCTCAATTGGTGTCTGGCTTTGTGATCTGGAGCTGGCTGCTAAAGCATCCGCTACGTTCTGTCGATTGCGTTGTGCTGCAGGAGCAGGGAGGGGAGACTGTGATGGTGGAGGAGGAAATGGCTGCGGGATGCCACTATCGACCTTCACCCAAGGAGACTCAGGTTGTACGGCTGGAGGCTGCGTCTGTTGCTGTTGCTGTTGCTGTTGCTGTTGCTGTTGCTGTTGCTGTTGCTGTTGCTGTTGCTGTTGCTGTTGCTGTTGCTGTCGCTGAGCGGATGCGGCTTTTTGGACCTGCTGAGATAGAGAAAGGGGTTCCGCCTCTGTTTGCTGCGGCTGCTCCTGTTGGGTTTGAGTAGGGGGTTTGGAAACATCGTCCGTATGCTCAAATTCGTCTCCAGGAGGAATGGTTGGGGGATGCGTGGGGAGTCCATCAGTTCTCTTAACAATGTCATCATCGGTTTGACGTCTCAACGCATGGAATTGTCTCAGACGCTCATCCCGAGCTTGCTGGTCAAAAATAGAATCTCCTTTGGTTTTGTCGAACTGTTCTTGTTCTTGTTGTAAACGAACTCTGTCCTGTATCATGGATGCAACTTGCTGGGACGGCACAACATTTTCTTGCGGTCTTGCACCGAATGATGGGCCGGCACTGAAAGGAAACTGAGATGGGCGATTGATGTTCATACGATCAACAAAATTTGGTAGTTCCTCCTGGACAGCCATCATATCTTGGGGAAGCATTTGAGGGGGCACGTTGGGCACATTCGGTTGTCGCATATTGGGTTCAAAGTAGCCTGGTACTGCCTGGGGTGGTTGAATAGGCCCCTGTATTGGAGATGGCTGGTATCCTCCTGAGGAGGTTATGTTGCCATAACTTGGTTGGCTATGAAGGCTATGGGCGCTGGAATGATGTTGAAGCTGGGGATGCATAGTAGTGTGAGGTGGATTTTGCATAGCCATCTGTTTCATAAGAACTTGTTGTTGTGCAAGGTGTTCCTTCTGTCTCGCCATCAAATACTGTTCTTCTTGCTTTCTTCTCTCCAGAGCGTTTTGCTGATCGGCAGTCAGAGTTGTGCCAAAACTGGGGAAACTGGTGGGGAAAGGTGGCTGCGCGACCCCAGCTTGAGATGACGACGCACCCCAGGGACCAGGTTGAGTCGAGGGAGGGCCATGAGGAACTCCAATCTGTGGTACTAGGAAGGGCTCACGGGAATTGCCGATACGTCGAACAAGTTGAGCTAACGGTTCGTACTCCGCATCTTCCAGCTTCTTCACTTGGAGCTCTGCAGTAAAGAACCCTGCTTTGAACCAATCGTGCATTTCGAGTCCAGACCACGGGCCCTGAGTGTTGCCTTGAGGGTCGCGATAGATCCAGCGCATCCGATCTGGCATAACCATTTGTCGCTGTTGGGTTGCCGGAAGTTGGGTGTTCGATGAACTGGCACTGGAAAAGCTCTGGGTCGGCTGGCCAGTACCCTCAACTGATGCTTGTGAGGGTGTAATGGAACTTGAAGCATTGGCTGCGGGCAAAGGGGCATAGGACGATGCAACTGTAGAGGTCGGATTGACAGGGCCGGGTTTGTCTCCAGACAAAAATGCGTCTCTTCCAAGATCAAGACCACCGAGCGTAGAGAAAATGCCACCTCGTGTAACCTGCTCAGTATCTCTCCTCGATATTCCAGTATCAAAGGGGCTGGTACTGGCGAGGTTCCTATTCTCAACTTGCTGCCTCATTGAACCTTCAATTCCTGTGGAATCAGGGCGCATTTGTTCACCACGCATCTGGTCCTGCATTGCTGGAGGAAAGAGGGATCCCATTTTGCTCGCCCGAGCAGCACCAGGAAGACTGGTATGCGATCCAAAGAAGCCACCCCCTCCAAGAGTTGCAAGACTTGGGGATTGCAAATCTGCCATTGATCCAAAAATTGGATCACCAAACCCAGATGCAAAGCCAGATCTTTCTCGGGTAGGAGTACCAGCTGTCGCATTCGTAGGCCAGCCACCAGCAGATCCAAGAGATGGTAGACCGCCAAGGCCGGTCAAGCTTGAAAACCCACGGCCCGGACCGACGCTTGATGTTTGGCTGCGGTCACCAGCTGAGGGGTCAACTGTAGATCCTCCTCGACGAATAGACCCAAACCCACCCATTCCCTGGTCTTCCGGTATATCACTGAGGCCGGACAAGTGGGTATGTTGGATGTCAGAACCATCTGTGTCGATATCGTCTGCATCAACTCTCTCACCTTGGGGGCTCTGGTAAGGATTCGTATTAGTCGGACTCATTGGCTCATGCACATGATGATTGGGAGTCTGCTCTGATTGGTATTGCTGGCTTCCTACAAGGTCTCGAAAACTGGGTCCGCCCGATGTCATGCCAAAGGACAGGCCAAACTGGTCAATTCCAGATGTAGAAGTTCCAGTCGCAGGAGCATCCAAGTCCTGACCACCAAGTGCTGCACTCCCGCTCCGTGGCTCATCGACGAAAGGGTTGGTCTCACTGCGAGTCATGCGTGTCTTCATAGGCTCTCCCCAGGATTGCTGCTGCACCTGCGGACTGGTATCCTCGGTTTCGGGAAGACGATCTAAAGCAGCAAGAGATGGTTTTTCCTTAACGTTGGACATGACATCTTCAGAGTTTTCTTTAGCAAGCAGACCCTTAAATCGACTTTCCCCACGTAGGCTACCTAAACCCGACTTTTTCTCGCCACTGCCTGAGGTTCCGCCCATGGGCCCCAGAGAAAAGCTACCAAACGCACCCATTGGAGAAAAAGCTGAGTTGTGGGACGAGGGCCACGGAGAGGCTGAAGCACTTGAAGTTGTGCCAACGGGGCCTGTGGTACTGCGCTTTAGAGTCCCAGATGGAGAGCTTATATCAAGACCTGTATCACGGGAATTGTTTTCCATATCCTTCTCCTCCATTTTCGTCTCTGACTCGCGGAAATCGGTCTTTCGACGAAGCAGCGATGGCGGTGGAGTGGAGATGCTCGTATCGTCCCTTAAAAAACGAGAATTTCCAGTGGGAGACATTGGGTTCACCGAAGAATCACCGGTCCCACGACGCCGTGGCGCGGTACGTGCGGATCCTGGAGAGGAAGTGTTGAAGGATCCAAGATGAGACTGGGAATGAGAGACGGACGATTTACGAGCCGCATTTCCCCCAGCACCGGAATTATCCTTTGAGCCACCTTGGGGAGGGGGCTTTAACGGGGAGTTAACAGAGCCAGAGAACAACTATAGAAACAGAAATGCTGGTCAGCCTTATAGCGACACGATCCCCTGAAAGGCCCTGTACATACATTTTTTTCTTCATCGTTCATTTCAGTCAATGCCAACGGCTGAGCCTGTCCACTATGATCCCAACAAACTTCGGGGCCGGCGTGGCCATCTTTAATGTCCTCCCGTTTGTTCCAACTACCATTAACGGTGGAGGCGTTGTCGTCATGGGGGTTCCAATCAGCCATGAAATAATCAGTTATGTGCTTTCCCCAGCTCCCCGAATCCTGCTGGCTCTTGTAGAAACTTAAAAGTTGGTCCTTGGAGTACCTGCTATCACTGGATGTGGCGGTACGCGGGGAACCTGAATGATAGTTGGAATTAAGATGCGGAGGGATATATGCCGCAACAGAAGGCGTAGAGGTGGATGACGACGTGGTCTGCGCGTTATCTCGGGTATGAGATAAGTTCGCTGCAAGAGAAGGGCGACGGAAGGTTTGAGTAGCCCCATTCATACGAGTGCGAGACCTGTAGGTCGAAAGTAGGGTGAATATCAAATTAGCTTGCATGCCAGTACGACAAAACACAAAACACACAAATCAGTGGGCGAGATGGCGGTAAACGACGGTCCCAATTTCAATGATAGGAGAGAGATGCGACAAAACACGAAAATTTCCAGTCAGAGGGAGCAAGACCAATGAATGTGTTAACAAAGAGGGATCATTTACCATTCCCCGCTTCCGGTTCCGTCTTTCCTTGTGCCAGACGAATCATGGACGTTGCCAGCTGCCGCTGAGGCAAAGCTTGATGGAAGTGGTGAAGGCATGCTAGCTAAATTCTCAGATATTCGTTATAACGAGATGTCTACAAAAACTGATAGACAGTGACGGGGCAATTTAGGTGAGGTGGGTCCAGTTGGTTGCTGTCGCGGTAACAGTAAAAAAAAAAAAAAAAAAAAAAAAAAGGCAGGTCAGGCGACTAGTTAAAATAGAGGAAGTGGGGATAGAATAGAAGATACGGAAAAGAGGAAGGGCTTGCTAGAGGGAGTGGGCAACTGGGTGCACACGGTACAGGAAGTGGAAGACAGGAAGGCTGGCAGAATTCGAAGCAGATTTGCAGAAGAAAAGAGACGGAGGTTGGAGTGTTGGAGAGTTGCAGGTTGAAGGTTGAAGGTTGAAAGGTTATGTTTTCACCTTCTTTAAACTAAGTGGGTGGGCAAAAAAAAAGGGCGTGCCAGGCCAATAAGCGGCGGGGGGTGGTAGTAGTCTTGTACACTATGCACACTGTAGCCACTCAGCGCCCCCCTTTCATTAAGCAAGACTGGGACGCCAAAAGAAGGTATTAGACCTAATTAATTCATCCGTTCCCTAATAATAGCCTTTGCAAATCTTTAGTGGTTTATAGCGAGATTCTGCCGAGGGCGTGACGATGAGAAAGTAAATAATATCTGCAGGGCGGCTCTTCTTTACTTTGACAAAGTATATTTTCCCTTACATGTTGTTCCTCTACAAGTCGGTGCAAGTAGGTGGGCTGGCTACATATCTCGTCAATCCACATCCACATGCTTCATGAAGGACCAGAAGACGTGAAAGGTAGTTGTCGCCAAAATAATGAAAGAAATGCAACCAGGGCTAGATACGTGTACATCTACTCTGTACGTGTCTATCCGGATCATATGTATGTAAAAGGGCTAAATTTCTCGTCCCAGATTCCGGGCTCTTTATGCCCGTTCAGCGGTTAAGGTTGCTCTGTCGATGGAATGACTGGTCGATAATTCTACTAATCATACTGCCACTCGACTGTCACCTTGTTGCCACCCACTTCCAGTATCGAATATGTACGTACAACTTAAGCAACCAAACATCCATCAATCGTCGCGAACTTCACCTCATACGGGCTAAATTCTCTTTATTTGGCAATTCTGGTACTCCAGACTAGCTTCTCATTCGTATTTGGCAGCATCATTCTCGCATCGTCGAGCCAGTTTGATGGACATCTGTCTTCATTCAGCCAACGACGCGTCGTGTGGCTCATGGATCTGCTTGTCTATTATATAACCGCGGAGTATGTCCTTCCAGGGACATCTAGAGGATTCATATAGTCCTCCTATATCCTTAGAATACTTTCGAAGTTTATCTTTCCTCTGGCTCTCAGTATATCAAGATGCAAACATCGCTAACCAACTCACTGCGGGCTGAATGATGCATTAAAAGTGAAAAACTGGTTTGCTGTTTCTTTTCAACCGCTTCCTATATCATGGAGGGGGTCGACGGCGCTGTTTGTGGACTATATGGACTTTCAGCAGAGATTGTGCTGTATACCATGTTTTCCATCTTTCCCCGAAGCTTGCTTCATGAAGGCACATACGTGGTTGATTGTCACGGCACACAGTGCAAACATTTTCCTTGTCAGGAAAACGCGTTGTAATATGTCCAGGAGAATGAATTATTATATCTCTCCTCCCTCTTCCTCCTAAGGAGATTCCCTTTCCGTCTTGTCAGACTTAAATTTCCTCTAAACTAAATTCTACTGCCGCCACGTTCCATTATATATCTATCGGGTGGGTTCCCTTCTCGCGGAGCGCCCTGAGCCTCTGAAGCTCAGAGAAGATAATATTCTATTCATTCCAACCCGTTATATTGGAACATACCATATCATGTCGTCCCCTTTCCGCCATCGGCGGGAAAGACACGAGAGAAGCTGGATTCCACCGCCCCGTTTAGATCCCGAAGTTTTGGACAATCTACCTGCGCAATACCATCCAGAACGCCCTCCCACCATTTATTATTTCAACCCAGACTGGCATGCCCCTCCCGAACGTCGATACTTTGGAAGTCCCCTACAAAACAACTATCAAATCATTTACATGAGAATTTATGATTCCACAGGCTCCCCTCTTTTACCCAGCAGCACGTCTCGGCTCTCAAGACCTTGGATACATGGAATACTGTGCGGACTCTCACATATGCAGACATCATGATTCAAGAGCCCGTATTCGACCGTGTCACCGTCTACTTCAACTTTAGACGTTTTCTCACGGGAAACCCAATATATCCGACATCCACATCCCCACTACTCCAGACACACTCTCCTTCATCGGGATTTCCCCTGGCCCCCCGCGAATCACATTATCGCCTTTTCTCCATTCTAAAGAAGAGGGCGAAAACACACTCCCCATCCACCACGACGTCTTCGTGAACCATTATAAGCTTGAACCCCAATTATCCCGATCCAAGCATTCATAGCCTCGCAAATCTCCGTGGTTCACGCTTCCAGAGCAACGGTGAAGATGAACGTTTAGACGGCTTTGTCAGTCGTATCATGTTCGTGCCTCATATCGAAGTGGTACTGAACGCCGGAAGGTTCGCCCAGCAGCGACGAAGGGGCCGTCCGAGAAATCGAGAGTGGAATGGTGTCTATTCGCTTGACCAGGCGTGAATCTAGCGACTCTTGAAGACGGGTTTCTGATCTTTTCTGTGGTTGTATTCTGTTTGCCGTCTTATTTCTTATCTGATCGATCGGTTTGATCGGTTGTTTACCTCTTGTGTCTTAAGCCCTTACTGCTATCCTTATGTTCTCAAGCACTTTCCAATCGCTTCCTAACCAAAACTAAAACCAATCATTTCTTCTTCAGTGTCTTGTTCCCGGAAATTGCAATATTTTCCAAAATCCAATTTCACAATATTTCGCTCCCCCATTCTTCGTCACAATTTTCCAAATACAGCGAGTTTCTACACGGAATACTCCACGTCCGTGAGCTTGTTCGAAGTGTCGCCAAAACGTGCGTATTTTCCTCGCCTATTGTTGGGAAAATATTGTTCAAATATTCTCCTATATATAAGAGTAACAGTTTGGTTTTCATGGTCAAACGCCACTTTGGCCACAGCGCGTCACGTGTAGGCAATATGTTACTACCTTCCCTCTTGGCAAAAGAGATAACAAACTTCGCGGGGAATCAGAATAATGAACTGCAAAAATGGAATTGAATGCAGACCGATTGTTTAGCATACTTCACCACAGAGCATTGAAAGGAAATGAACATGGTTTGGCTTGTTCAGATAGATAAGGAAAGAAGGGAGAAATTTATGAATAACTCAAATAAACAACAATTTGTGGTCGGTGGCTGCATAGAGGCTCATATCAAAATCAGTTTGAACATTGTTCCCAGTGAGTTCAGCTTTAATGTGTAAAGAAGTTGGGTCCACGTTTTTATCAACTCTGGTTCAACCTCATCTAAAACAACAGTCTACTAGAGTCACGCTGCAACATAGATACATATATTATATCTCTTCAACCTCACCACCCTCAACACCAGGGTTAAGGGTATTAGATTAGATTAAGAATTAAATTTAATAATTAAGAGTAAGAATCTGAGAAATATGACAAAATCACCGCCATTAAGCGCATATAGATATATGTGAGATATGATTAGCGTATGTAACTTAACGAGAGGATATCTCGATTTATAGTATAATAAACCACATATGAAGTCTGTGTTTACAGTTGAACATGGCTTTAAAAAGAGTTGAATGTGGTTTACAAGTTGAGCTCACTTCTTTTTTAACATCAGGGTTAGGTGTAGATTAGGATTGGAATTAAATTAGAATTAGAGATTAGAATTAGAATAAGTTGGAGGTTAAGGTTAGAGTTATTTACAAGCATAGAGATTGTTTGGTACGATGTAACTAGATGGTGTCATGATTTTATCATAACATAAACCACGCTGAAGGTTGGTTTTACTGGCTGCAATTTAAAACCATGCACGCCTGGCAAGCCTTATGTTTGTCAGAGCTCATCGATGAAGAATATTTTACATGTTCCTTTAGACTCTATTACATGTTTGATGCAATGAGGTAAGCAACGATCTCATTATTCAGAATAGCCCGTCGATCCCATATGTTCAATAACAACTTGTTATACCAATACACAAAACAGGAACGAGATGGATGCCTTCATCATCCCTTAACTACTTTCCGCGTCAGAGAGGTTCAGTGCCTATAAGACGCAGATTCCGACCAAGTATTATTGACTCTCATCGATGCCTATCGAGCTGGATTTAATTGCAATTGGTTCCAAATCTTCGATCAACTTCAACCGTTCATGGGGACAGCGAAAGCGGGGTAACTACATCACAAGCATGGCAGCCGTGGGTGGCATCCAGAGCCGCCGCAGACTCTGTGTGCCGGAGGGATGATTTTTGAAGCCAAGCCCGCGGTCGAAGTCCGCGGTCGAACCAATGAATAAAGAATACTAAAATAGGCCTGGACCAGGCAACAGAGATCCACGACCCTTTAAAATCCTCAATGGACACCCGTTTCACCTTTCGAGTTCAATAGAATAACTAATATTCCATACTTCCAAAATCCCACAAATATAGAAATACAAAATATCAATATCCCTATACCCCCCCCCCCCCCCCCCCCCCCCAAATTTCCCACACGGAGAAAAAAGAACAAAACCCCCCCATTGTGCCCGAGGGCCGGGAAAAAAAAAAAGAAAAAGGAAAAAAAATGTCCCCGGGGTTTTAAGGGGGGTCCCGGGTGTTTTATCCGCCCTAAATGGTGGACTTTATATGAAAAGGGGGGTTCCTCCCAGGCGCTTCCGCCATTTAAAAGAAAAGAGCCCCCCCCCCCCCCCCCCCCCCCCAAATTCGCCCAACGCGAACAACAGCGCAAATCCCCCCAATTGCGCTCGACGCCCGAAAAAACCAAAAGCAAAAGCGAAACAGAATGTCCGCCGTGCGTGAAGCCGGCGTGCTCGGGCCTGTCGTCGCGCTCAATATCTGGACATTCATCATCGAAGGCTGGATGTACTCCAAGCGCATCCCAGCTATTGAAAAGTACAAAGTCACCATCGACCCCACAATAACCAAGGAGCAGTTCGCGAACAAATTCCCACCCCACATTCGCTGGATCGCGGACAACTACAACCATCTCATGGAGCAGCCGACGCAGTTCTACGCCATTGCTCTTGCGGTTGCGCTGCTGCATGAGCGCAGGGGCAGCTCAGCAGATGTGGCAATGGCGTGGACATATGTGGGACTGCGTGTTCTTCATAGTTTGGTGCAGTGCTCGACCAACAAGATCATGAGGCGGTTTTTGATTTTTGTTACATCGTCGGCTGTGTTGTTGGGGATGACGCTTAATGCCGCGAGGTTGGCGTTTTAGATTTGGGGTTTATTGTAACTATCCGTGGAGTGGATTGCACGGGATAACTAGTTGAGATGGATTGAATTGGTGTTGATTATGGACGCCACAAAAGAGGGTTGCTTTCCCGGCTATGTGGTTGTGCACTTGAACAAAAAGTAATTACTAACGGCTCCCGCTTGGTAGTTATGGGTCGGGGGAACGACCAGGGTTGAATGATGGAATATTATGTGTAATGGCCGTCAGAAGTGCTAACGGAGCACACACAAAAGCCAATATACGCTTTGGGCAGTATGCAGAGTCTCCTTTTGCTAGAGAACAGCGTTCAGCATTGTATCTTGAACCATTGAATCTCAATGATTTGGGGCAACGAGGTTTTATAGAAATCCACTCTTGAACTAGACCTCACAAGTACAGGCGTCCTCTCGAGCTCACATTCTGGCAGCACTCTGATGAACAACCCCCTGTGCACAGATTGCCCATTCGACAGGTTCTGCTGATCCTAACCTAGATATAGAGATCCCCATCTAGCACGTCACATCCAGTTGCCATTAAGATCTATTTTGCTGCTAATGACGTTATGTGAAGTCCTTTCCTCTCTCTTTTCCAGCTGGATATCATCACTGAGAGGAATAATCTTCACGGAATAAAGGCCCTTGTGCAAAAATTTGACATCTCAGCGTAGCCAGAGCAAGCCTACCTACTGGGTTGTTAACGAGTAAAGCAAACTATTCCTCGTGTTGAGCGAACCAGTGCTTCTGACCAGTGCCGCCCCCCAAAATATCCACCGAAAACGCCACAAAAGAGCTCTTTCATTTACTCATTTACTCGGAATTCGGAAATCGCTAGACGCTGTCATGCTCGAAACTTGATTTTTGTATATAATTTAGCAGACGTAACTAAGTCGTAGTTTAACATGGGGGTGAAGTGAGCGATCCGTGGCTGTAAAAAAGCCTGGTGAAATTCACAGATATTAACGAGCGAAGCTTAGTTCAAATGAAATAAATGGTGGCTATTCACTTATTGGATCCTGAGCTATTCTTATCCGATACCTCACGATTCAGATTCATCGTGTGAAAGAGATATAGAAGAAGTTGTCAACGCTGTTTAGAAACACAATTTCGCGATACCAGAACTGATTCCCATTTCTCATGACAAACTATCCGGCAATGCATCCAGCGCAGTGTTGGGCGTCTGTCCATCTCTTGACTTGGATAACTAGCTATGTGAGAATCCTGCGGTGCCACTTTTCTGCCGTTTCAGGACATTCGTTTGTAATTTCGCTGAGATTCGAAAATGATGTCCGTAATCATTGATGCGAGTGGTGTGTCTGTCAGACATCATTCAGTTACTATCAGCGCTATTCTTCAGCAGCAGACGGATTGTCTGTTTGAACAGCGACCTCGATATTGAGATCAATATCGGTTCTTCACACACCCTATTTTCCCATATTTCTTTCTTTTACCGATATCTGCCTAAAATAATAAACTTCATTCTTATGCTTACCGAGGAACCATTACTCTCTCCCTAGGGTATGTCGGCTAACTAACCGTCGGCTAAACCTAGAAAACATAATCTCAAGATAAAGAGTTGATATCGGTCAACGACAGCACCACATATATCTCACGGTGGAATTGGCTCCTCACACATCCTTTCGACAGCTTGTGGGTGCATATGCTTTCCCCCCTTGATTTGTAACTAATAGTTACATCGTCTGACCGATATATCCATTCAGGGACAATTCAAAAATCAAATGTAATCATTGAAATTTTGATGCACTGTATCGAACTCGGGCCAAGATATCTCACACATTAACCCATAGAGGGACTAAATAAAACAAATAAAAAAGCACGGAGATATTTCAATCAATCACCATTTTCTCACAATTCCAATTGGCCCGCAACATGCCCTATTCCATTACCATCGATCCCATAGATGGGAAACCTGGCAAACCAGGCCAAGTTTACTACCCCCTCGCTCTCAAGACCGTTCCCATCCCAACCCCACAAGGCAGCGAACTCCTCATAAAGCTAACGGCTGCTGCTCTTAATCATCGAGACCTTTTCCTCCGCCAACACCTGTACCCGGGAGTAACTTTTGGTGTACCTCTGCTAGCGGACGGAGTCGGCATCGTAATCTCCACTGGCCCAGACGTCAATGAGCCTCAATCATGGCTCGGAAAGCGAGTTATTCTGAACCCGGGAACCGGCTGGGATGATTCAGAGGAAGGCCCCGAGTCTCCAACGGGATACTCAATCATGGGCGGAACAAAGTTCAATCCTAAGGGAACACTGCAGGAATATGTCACGCTTGACATAGGTGAGGTTATAGAGGCACCTACGCACTTGACGGATGCGGAGGCAGCGGCGTTGCCGCTGGCGGGCCTCACGGGATGGCGAGCGCTGGTGACGAAGGCCGGAGCGAAGAACTCGAGCAAGGGGGCTGCCATTGTGATCACCGGCATCGGCGGTGGAGTTGCACTGATGGTACTAAAGTTCGCTGTTGCGAGGGGTGTGCATGTGATTGTGACGAGCGCGAGCGAGGAGAAGATTAAGATGGCTGTGGCGCTGGGAGCTAAGGGGGGAGTAAACTACAAGGACAATGAGTGGGAAAAGAAGGCATTGGCGTTGCTGCCGCCTGGCAAGAAGAATTTCGACGCTATTATTGATGGCGCCGGCGGTAATTCGATTGAGAAAGGGGTTAAGTTGCTGAAGGTATGATTGAAGCAATTTGCCCTAGATTTCCGAGGAAACAAATGTTCTCCGCTAGATGAGTGGTAGAAATTGCTAACAACCCATCAACAGGCTGGCGGCGTGATCTCCGTATACGGCATGACCGTCTCGCCTAAGATGCCATTCATCACTCCTGCATTCCTCAGAAACATTGAAGTCAAGGGATCGACTATGGGGTCTCGGAAGGAATTCAGGCAAATGATAGCTTTTGTCAATGAACACAAGATCAAGCCTATTATTTCTCGCGTTGTACAGGGAATTGATAATATCAAGGCCATTGACGGGCTGTTCGATGATATGAAGAATGCAAGCCAGTTTGGCAAATTGGTTATCGAGATTGGAAGCACTGGTGATAGTAAGTTGTGATTAATGTATGTCCTTGTTGGTTTTCAGGGTTGGTCTGTTTGAATAGATTATATCCCCCAATAGTTAATATGAAAAATGAGCACACATAATATCCATTAACTCATATCAAGATCATTCAGATCTCGAACTACATGTATTGGTATATATTCGGCCAATCGGGTTTAATACGAACAGTGTAACCTTTTTTTTAAAAAAAAAGCCCCTAATGTCAAAAACCGCAGGAGTTCCGGGAGGATAATCAAGGATTTTACTATTTAAAAATGAAATGTACATTCATATATAGCTGGATGTGCCAGGCAAATTCTACAGTAGCTCATCTTATTTCCAAGGCCGGCTCCGTAGCGGATCGAAAGATTCGTCCATCATCCTCACCAGGTTATTTAATTATTGGTTTCTTCCACACACAGAGAGTAGTCTCGTGTTTGGTGAATTTCAATGAACTGTGTATTTCAAACTATCCATCCCATCTTTCCATTGTGACAAGCGGGACACAATTGGAATTGATATTTTATCGATATGTAAGAAATATGAAGTTCATTGCGTCACAACTTGATAGCCTCATCAATTAAGTAAGTTAATATGGTTAATCTGCCACACTACAAACTCCTTTCGTGTCCCTTAACTTTTTCAAACCCCTCGACCTCATCTCATCAAAATGCTCAGTGATGATGATATACAGGCAATGATTGTTGTTTTGAAATCACAGTTGAAGCCATGTTATGCTGTCATTTCAAGATTTTAAATTATATTGATGCAGAGATTCAAAGTGTGGTTTTACAGTCTATATCGTAACGAAATTCACAAGGAAATAGAATTCCCAATGGAGCGGAAGATCAATTCAAGATATCTTCAATTCTCTAACTCATTCATCCTAACGTGCAATTATGATATCAATTTACAGTAAAAAACACAAGAAACTCTACAGAAAGAGAGGAAGAATTGAACTCACAATATCTGCTAATAGAAAGCAAGAAATAATCTCAATTGCTGAAAGCAGCAGGCTTATTTAACATTTTCTATATCATAAATAATCAACTAACAATAAAGTGCAATAAAAAGACCTTTTCTTATAATACAATTAAAACTTAGACATGGCTATTTTGAATACTATATAAAAGAATTAAAGATTTTACAAATTCAAATAAATGTGATTTCTGTGATTTAGTTGAATGTTCAGATCATATTTTAATAAACTGCTCTTTAAAGAATGTGTAAAAGAAACTCAAAGAAAAGTACTTTAGTAATAGTCAATTGAACATGCTTTTTCTTTTCAATACTATACTAAAAAGAAAGTTTTTATTAATTTTATAAAAAAATCAAAAACCATATCTAGAGAATAAATTTTAAATTTAAATAAGATCTTTATCTAAAATATATAATACATAGATATTAAATTTAGATATTATTTTATTTTTTATATTTTTATTAATATGTTATTATTTTTTTTAACTATAATTTTCTTTATTTTTTTAATATTTTTTTCATAATTATTATTATTATTATTATTACTATTATTATTACTATTACTATTATTACTAATTTTTATAAAATAAAAAATGTATAAGCTTATTTTTTATTATATATTTATTTAAATGTAATTTTATTCTGAAATAAAATTCAATAAATTATATTTATTAATTTATACTTATAAATTAGATCTATAAAATAGTTAAATTTTAGATTTATTAAATAAATATCACAGTTTTCATCATATATATATAAATAAAAAGTAATAATAATAATATAATTAATTAAAAAATTAAAAAATATATATAATTTATATATATAATAATATAGAATAAAATTTATCTAGAGATTAATTAATCTCATAAATCTACTCAATAGAGCAAACTACAATCACTGAATATAATAGACTTTATCTAAAAATTAGCATAGTAATCATCTCATAATTACTTCACAGAAACTGTATAGCAATGATGCTAAGAAAAGAGATAAGATGCTAAGAACAGAGATAAGAAGCTAAGAAAAAAGATAAGGCACTAAAAGCTATATAAAGCAGGTCTTGCCCAGGCTCATCTTAGAGAAATCATTTTAGTATTTCATTGATGTAGCTTATTTAGTTAGTGAATTAAATATCTGTTTACTTGCATCTAGATTGAAGCTGTAACAATATATAAATTTTAAACTAATTGAGAATAAAAATTTTTTACTAAATATATAAATTTTAAATTTAATTATTTAAATTTGACTTATCTTAAATAAAGTTTTAAAAATTTATTTATTTTAAAGTACTTTATTATTATAATTTATTTTTATTAATGAAAACTAAATTTTAAAATTATATAAATATAAATTTAAAATAATAATATATATTTATATTAAATATTTTATTAAAATATTATAATTATTATATTTTAAATATTATTTTATTTAAATTTATTAAAAATTTAAATTAAATAATAATTATATAAAAATAAACTTTTATATTTATAGATATACTTTAATATTATATATAAAAGTATTATATTTACTCTTAATTAAATATTTTTATTTTTTTAATTTTTAAATTTAAATTTTTAAATTATTTTTTAAAAAATTAATTAAACTTTTAAATTTAAATAATTTTAATTTATTTTTTAAACCATTAAAATACTATATATGATTTTTTTTTTCTTTAACTTATATTTAAAATTGATAATAATTTAATTTAAAGATAAGAAAAACTTTTATATAATATTTAATTTTATTACTTTATTAATTTAATTAAAATATATTATAAAGGTCTAAAAAAATTAAAATTAAAAAATTTATAAATTGATTTTAATAAAATAAAAATTAAAAATTAAGTAGATAATTCAAAAATCTTATTTAAATTAAATAAAATTAAATTTATAATTTTAAATTATTTCTTATAGTAATAATTTTTATAATTTTTTAATTAACTATTATATAGCTTATTAAAAATTTATTTTTAATCTTATACTTTACTTAATTTTTTTATTATATAGTTTTTTAATATTAAAAAATATATTATATCTAGTAATTAAAATAGATAAAATCAATAAAAAGATATATAGAAAGTTAAAATATAATAATTTAAATAAAATTTATCAAATTTATTTATAATATAATTATTATATTTATATATAATCAATAATTTATATCTTCTAGCTATATAAATTTTAATATAGTTATTAAATATTTTTTATAATTATATTAAATTAAGTTTATCTAAAATCTAGCTGTTTTTACTAAGTTTAATTATTCAATTTATTAATATAATATAAAAATAAATAAAATTTAATTTATAATATTAAATATTTTACCCATCCCCTCTTTACTTTTATTTTTTAAATTATATAAAAAAATATTTATAATCTTTCTTATTTTAAGACTTTTTTTTTATTATTATATTAATTTTTATTTAAAAAATTAATTTTATTCCAATGTATATTTTTATGTTTAATAATATTTTAATAAAATATAATTAAATTTAATTATAAAATAAAAAATATATTATAAATATTAATAAATATTAAATAAATTATTACTTATTTTTTTATTTTATTTATTAAAATTAATTAATTATATTAATTTAAATCTTTTATATTATAATTATAATTATAGGTTTTATAAAGCTATAGAAACTGTGAAACTATTGAACATATTAAAAAAATGTTTTAATTCTAATATAAATTAATTTTTAATAAAATCTTTGCTGTTGTTAATAGTTAAGTATAATTAAAATCAATTACTCTATATTAAAGTGTCCCACTGAATTGGGTGCGCCACTTAGTTGAACAGCACATTAACTAAATGTTCAAGTTAGGTGGGCCTCTTACCGTGTGAGATTTTTGCAACATATGAGCGATTTTTCCTACTTATGAGAATGACTGGTTTTTTAGTTCTCATATACGGTTAATTGCTCATTCAAATTCAATTAGAGATGTAGTTGAATTTAATCCTATGTAGGATCATATCCGACTGTAGATTCTTAGGTGGAATCAAGCCAATTAACTAACTTGATTCGTTTCTAGATTACTAACAATTAGTGTAGTTTGCTTCCACTAGTTATAAGATCTTTGAACCTGAACTGTCTGATACTATATAATCAATCGTCATATTACAGATAGTTCAGCGGCTAAACCATGAGAGTGCTACAATGCTCCATATAACTTTACCGCTGAGAAATGTGTATTATTGAGAACTGCATCGCTAAGCCGTGGATGCAAGCTCGCAGGTGAAAAAGATTTAACTTTCAGTAGTTAGTAAACATATTAATTATAAGGTTGTATCCGCAAGAGTCCATTCAGGCAATATCCATGGTAGAAAATAATATATTCTTGCATCATACTTACAGGAGGGATCTATCTCTGCCTTGAAAATGGGGGAAAACGTTACCCCATATTAATGATTTTTATATTCTCTAGTCTTTTTATCTCCTGTGCTCTCGTTTTACTCTGCAAATGTAGAGGAAACGGCCACCTGAAGTAGCAGTCGGTGCAAGTATCTACGTTAATCATCAAAACCGTGGGAAATTTGTTCAAAAAAGAAGAGAGCTTGAGTTTAATGGCAAAAAGGGCGGTAATCTTTCAAAAGATCAAGACATAATAAACAAAAATGCAATTGTGGTTGCTAAACCCCCCCATGTTGACATCTGAACCAGTGGATCCATCACACCCATGATATCCAGCAACCACAATCCAGAAGTGGCCTCAACAAGATAATGGTGTGGGGTGGGTTAACGACAGCGCGAGAGGCTGTGAGAGCAGTCTTCTGACTTCATCCACTTGATAATCCCCCTCTGTTAACCTATTGTGTTGATAGCGTGGAAACTTGAAAATGGATCCGTCAAGATATCATCGGGGGTAAAGGAGGAGAAAGGAGAAGAAGAGGAAAAGGGTGTTCTAATTTAGTTCCCATTCTAACAAAGGTACAGAGGCCTGTCAATTAGCACTCGTTTTTTGAGATAGCGAGTGAGCCAGTCTAGACTGTAAATACTGTAGGAACATATCACAAGGGTGCTTGGTAGAAAATCA